TCTTCGAACGACCTATATTGTACTTAAGTACACTTGAGCCATCAGCATACTGGAAAGTTCCCATTTTGTACTCGAGTGTAACCTTATCATTCGCATCTTTAATTGTATTAGAATTTTACTCTAGGGAAATCATGGAAAAAAAATAGATCCCTCGTAGTTCTAATGTCATTATAACCACTATTCCTAAATTGCAATTGCACTCCATAGCCCGAAGACGGGGACGCCTTGGGTGCGTACTTCATACAGACATGACCTAGGCTGCCTTTTTCATGAGATATTTTCATTTTAGACAACTGTCACTCTTTATTGTGGACAAAGCAGTGATTACAGCTTCCTCAAAAGGCAATATCCTACCTCAAGCGCAGCCACCCCTCTTCCTCCTCGCCATATCCGCAATGTGGAGGGCACAACTGCCATTTACTCGTCTGGACTCGGGTAACCTGAGCAATGCTTACGCGAAATCAGTCAAATAAAGTAAGTGTTACTTTGTTGTTACATCGTTTTGTTACTTTGTTGTTACATCGTTGACGATCTTTGACCGAGGTTTGTGCCATTACTGTGAGAACAAATGTGTTTGTTGCTTAAGCCTGGAAAAGCGCAGAATAAAAGTACCAAAAACAAAAATGGGCGTTTCCGCCCACGGCTGCGAGATTCCAGACAGAAGAAATACAGAGACGCGTGCATGGGAATTGAGAGTTGGCAAGGGAACAAGCATTCGGCGCCGAGCATACCAGGAAACGCCTCTTTTTGCCCTTTGAAATGAACCTCCTCTTCACTCACGTGATCATGATGTGTGAAAAACCAACAACAACAAGCAACTACTCTGGCTCAGCTAATGGGATAGAAGAAAAACCAGATCCACCAAATGCACTCACCGCAGACTGATTGGGTTGAGCCCGGCCACCTATAAAAACACTGGCTATTCTCATATTTACACCGACCCATTCATAAGAACGATTAGCTTCGGAGCTGAAGCGAAATAAACGTTCGGCAACCCTTGATACCCAAGGGAAATCATAACTTTCCAGTGTTCTCCAGCTCCGAGTAGTTGCAACTTTGCAACTGCAACCTGCAACTTGGCAGCAAAGAATAGTTGCAACTTCCCCACCCGGATGAGCGGAACAGCTAAAGAGAGAGAGAGTGAAGTATAAATTTGGGAAGACCGGCGAGATACAGTGAACCGAACCGGGGCGTAAAACAGCGCGTCGGTGCGGCTAGTGCTTATACAACATCGCTCAGTTCGCGCCTGAACAGTCCCTCTCCAGGAAGGATGCGGGTTTAGAGTCACTCCCGTTTCTGGCCTCACCGCGGAGCTTCTACCAGGGTCAAGCATCACGTCGTGGAAGATTGGAGCGTTGATACGACCTCTCCCCAGAGCAGTGTCCGTTCGCTCTCCCCCGCCCCTCCCTCAGTGATTGTGGGGTGTGTGGGAGTACACTCCTCATCCCTGAGAAGGAGTAGGCGTGCCATTTGGACATGACATAAGATGGGTTACTCGTGAGTTATTTTACCAACTGTTATCTTGTTCTGTGTTGGGCAAAGACATCCACAATTGTCTTAAAATTGAAATATCTCTTCAGAAGCACAGTCACGTCCACGTTTAGTTGAAGTACGCATCCACGCCTACCGTATCTCACGGGTTCCCAGTGTACCTGCTGTGTTTATCAGGACGTATTATAGCTGTGTAAGTTGTGTGTTATATGAACTTCACCGAATGAAAATGTTGAGTATACGGGAACATTTACCAATTCAATCAAGCAAAAGCACTGAAAACTGGAGAGATTAGTTCCTCAGAAGTATTGTAATACACAAAGTGAAAATTCAAAAAAAACTACAATGACGCCGTCCAAATGAAACAACACGAAGCCGTGGCAGTGAGCGAACTGTGGCTGCGCCGCGTACTGAGATTGGAGACCTACTGGCCCGTTGCATTCACACAGTATTTTCCAAAAGGGTATAACATTATTCAGAAACCATCTCTTGTAGAGCGGTAAGAACGATTCATGTTGTATGGGCAGGGTCTATGCGAAAGACACTACAACTTTCATCAAACTTGCATGACGGCATCTGACTAGAAAATAACGCGGAATATTTTCGGCGAACGCGATTTTTTACATGTCAAAGGTCACGACTTCGTTTGGACATCACGAAGGGAGAAAACCTACACGGATTTAGGAACTAGGTGTTCTCTCTCTGATGGGCACAACATCTTCGTCATAGCTCAACTATAGCGAAAATGGTATGCTGAATCCTCCAACAAAAAAGCCAACACTACCAGTCTGCGAAAGCTCACGCTAGGTTTGTACGATACACCTTCGCCTCATGTGGAGTGATAGGAACTGCAGCATAAAGGCAGCATGAATCAACATCTCCATGAAAGCGCCCTCTACTCGACATGTCCTGCCGAGACGCACCACCCCATCTGCACTAGTCGTCCTTGGTTCAGCGACTGATCTCTGCAAGTACGACCCGCTCCCTACTGGGGCCGAATACGACCTCCGTCCGGATTCCGCGACGTATGCGAACCCCGCTTCTACCCTTTAACAGAGCACATCATTGGTTAGGGATTTCGGTTGAGTCCGTACGACCCCACCCCTAAAATGCGGAATTTCTGTACGAGTTAATTTCCAAAATTCCGCAGGTACACAAAACAGGATCTCAGCAAAATTGCTCACCCTATTTACAGGAATTCAGTTTAGACGGACTCCGGTGTTCTAATACATGTGTTACTTCAGTTAAGATGGCAAAACAAAGGCCCGACTTTAAACAGGTGGATTCAAAAATTATAACGATTTTCACTATTTTCTACCACTGCGTGTTAAGTGAGCGAGTTAGGGATCCTCAACTCTTTCGGAAATTCCTGGTAAAGAGAATCGCTGTATTGATCTTCACCGCATTGGATGGTGTGCTGCAACCTACGGGAAACGGTAAAGGATCTTATTCGACCGCACCGCCACGCGCGGCGATGGCGCGGCGTTTTCATAACTCGTTTTAACCTGTCGAATGAAGCACCGGACTTCATGTAGACCCCGTCATCGTAGACACTCATTACTGTTTTCGGTCCTTAATTGCATGTTGTCGCCATCTACTGCCTGAAACCATCGTCCTTTGCGGGCGGGACGCGCAACGCACTCCCAGCACCAGACGGCAAATTACGATCCTATTGTCCACACACGCAAGCTACAGATGTTGTGTACAAATTCGACGCGCGCGGGCGATACTGGCAGCCATCCATATTGAATACCAGTGCGCACGCCGCGGTCCGACGCTTTGGTGCATTGGTGGCGAAGTGTTTGGGACCCCCTTAAGTAAACCAACTGTCTTTAAGGGCTTATAATTTTCTTTTTGCAGACCGTTAGGAAAACGAAAAACACAATTGGGTTAAAAAAAAAAGATTCGGGCCTTTCTTGAAAAGTACTGGAAATGTTAAGGTTGCCGATGTTTCAAAGAGAAAATTCACAGCGCTTTGGGGATGGGTTAGGGATTTTCAATATTACATGCCAGAAAAGACAAAGACTGGTCTGCGTTTGAACGAATATAATCCTCTAAAAACTTAAAGTTTGCAAACCCAGCCTCGAAGCTGTCTGGACCCAGCGTCGAATACTAGAGGATTCCTTCATTCCATAACCACCTTCACATTGTATTCATAGTTTTCGGGCATCAATGAGAAAAAGCGTTCGGATTTCTGCCAGGCGAACACGTCCGAGCACGACAGAAAAACACCGCTTATACTCGCATACCGTTTCAGGGGCATATTCCGGATTATCCAAGAAAGCCATCTCGCAAATGCATCCCTTCGTGGAATAAGAACAAACAGTAGTTAGTCTGCGCCCATTAGCTTCATTTCTGGATGCGCCATGCTTATGCTCCCACGCACAGGTAGTAAGATGGTGCAGGTTCTACGCAATGCCTGTCTACGCGAACAGATGTGTTTGTAGGATTTGGGGAGGTCCATGGCCAAACACTAGCACTTACCTCGTTCCGTGGCTTGTCCGTTTCGGATTGCCGGTTCTCCGTTTGATTGATGCGTGTCCGGTCCTCATCCGCAACAGGAGAACGAAACACGCACGCCGCACATCGGTGACTCCACCTGCTTGCTAAGTCCGGTGACCGAACCCGCTCTGGGAAAACTTGTGAACGAAACGAATATCCTAGTCTTGTCGTTCAGTCGACAAGGAAAAAAAGTCGTTGGCGCCGTAGCAAGCGCGGTCGCTCGGACACGCCCTCATCATCCGCAGCGAACCAGGGTATGAATGTACTGTTTAGTCATCTATGTACTTACGAAATGATGCCCACTTATTGTTTCCAGTTAATTTGGATTAGTTCAGTTATTTGAAGTTTCTAACTATTTTTTTTCACAGTCCAGTTCTCTACAAAGCGAGTTTCGTACACAGGAGCAGCGCACTTGGACCCTTGCGTCTGCTAACCGGTACAGCGGTCTATGGCACGCCCAATTGTGTGCATCCACATTTCATTTTACGCGCAATTCTCGGAGTACTCTTCCTCGCCCGTCTTCCTGAACTTACAGTCTCGTGAGAAAGAAAGAGAACAAAGTCAATTGATGAACTTATCACTAGCACATGGTTCACCATACCAACCACCACCTTGTACGCTCCTATACCACTCCCATTCATCCTTACTTCACTACTTCTGTCACCAAATTTCTCGAATCAAAAAGGTTTATTTCTTGAACAGAACACTCTTCGGGATTAAATAATGGTCACAAAAATAATCATTTTGATGGATTACTGCGTCCATCACGTGAGTATCGGAATTCGCGTATAGGTTTTATCCGTTAGCAGTGAAATTAAGTCGTGTTCGACACACACTCACCAACATGAATTACAACACCTACAATACCTTTTTCGGTTCTATTCCCGCAATTAACACGACAATATATAGTAACAAGACTGGAGAAGTCGTCAACAACATCGTGAAACAAGTAAAACAACCACAGAGTGACGAATTTCCAAAGACAGCGGCAAGGGAGAACTGAGATTTTAGGCATCGTTCTCCTCACCCTCTGAACCGCCTTCGTCATCCACCTGAAACTATCACTACAATTATAACCCTGATCCAATTCATGAAAAAAAAACTCGGCTCTGACGGCGAGTCAAGGAGGAAGGGGGAAGACTCGGCCGCGCTTCTCTGGTCCTCCGTTCACACTTCGCGCTCGCTTCAGTCGGATCCTCGCAATGGGTGCCAGTTGGCAGCGACTGTGCACGGTTGACGCCGATTGCGAGATCGCGAAACTTGCCCGGTTCGCGCAATCAATGCCAAGCGCATGCGATTCGCGCCAACTGTTCGTTCGTATTACCACGTATGGGCGTCCTCTTACAACGCATACCCATGCGGCCAAGGGAAAAGGAAGAAATGATCCCTCCATTTGAGACGTCGTCTCGTGGCGGGGAAAGGGAAAGAAAAGCGCGTCAGGGTTGTTCCTGTGCTCATACTTTGCGGCGGACCGGCACAATAGCAGCTTTGTGGGGGTGTGCGCCAAAAGAAAGATCCGTGGCGTTCGACGTTCATCAATACCCACGTAGCGAGCTCTCAGAACGCCAGTCCCACCGTTCTCCCGGAACGCTGAACCGGTACCCATCAGTATCGTCATTGCATCCATTCATTGGCGTGCACTCTTCCAGAATGCCAGACCGATACCCATCTACCCTTGGGCTCGTATTCTACTGAAACGCCGATCCCGTCGATTCTCCACCGCAAAGTATGAACACAGCCTAGCTTAACAGCCCTAGACACTCTTCTCATGAAACTGCAGCTGATAAGATTCGGGCGCTAATCCAATAGGTAAGCGTTTTGGTTCATAAGGCTCGAGGCATACAATTAACTATCAACGATTTCATGGAGGTGCCAGTGTAGTTCATTACGCCCACACGACAACGTGAAGAAGTTCGTGCCTATGCGCCACGAGACGACGTCCCAAAGGAAAGGATCATTCCATCGTGCCGCTGCGTAGCCCCTATCAGTTACGGTTACGTGACATCTTGAACTTTTGTGTGGTCCTGTTGCGCAACCAAGAAACGCAGACAGATACAGATCAGCGCCTGCCAAGGCACCGAGATGCAAGAAACTATGGCAAGCCAGGAAACAAACTTTCCAAGGGGATGGACTCCGGAGTGGCTGAGCCATCAGTTACTTAGCGCCATTTTTATAGTCACAGGAGCTTGTTGCCTTATCGGCTAGAGTAGGGAAGAAGTTCTAAAGTGGAATGGTGGTTCACCATTCTAGAACTTCCCCCCTCGCTCAAATGTGAATATCCGAATAAATGACCATTAATAAACAGCTACTACCCATAACCGTTTCTTTGCACACCTGAGCATTAAATACCGCACAGTATTTGAAAAAGTCAAAGGAGTAACGCGCTCAAGGAGTGAAGAAGTATCCATCGGCGCTGGTCGCTCAAAATCAACTACGTATCGGCTAAAGGGACTAAATATCCCTTCTTCCAAGCTTCTCTAGTATAGTAGATGGGAAGTAGCAAAGGTGCAAAATGCAGCGGAAGTGCGCCCTCTATTCCTTCTGTTATTACGCTTCCCTTACGAATCTCTGTATCTTTGTTCAGAGAGGTCCGCAGCAGAAATATAACACGAACTCCTGATCATTATCCAAAGATAAGTCATTCAATGTGCACCTCTTTTCCCTCTCAACCTGCCACCCCTCCCAAGTAAAAGCCCTCTATCACCACGACATGGGGGTTACGAAGCTCACCTTCCCCCCACTTATGACACGAATAAACAAGAAGAGATCACATACTTCTTCCAGACCCTCCTCATCATCAATGAGTTCTTCGAAATCGTCACCCGTTTCCTCCATCTCTGGCAAGAGGTAGTATTGTAGCGGATTCGGCCACATGTCGTCTTTGATAACCTGGTAAATAGTACGTAGAAAAACGATCGCAATATAAAGCAGTAAAACAGTAAAAGTAAAATAATACCTCAGCTATGTCATCGTGCGCTGGATCAACATTTTCTGATAACCACTCGAAAAACGACAGCGGGGAGGAGGAGTCGCCTTTCTGTAAAAGAAGTGTAATATCAAGAATAAAGGCGCAGTTCGGTTTGGTGGGGCATCAAGTGGCAGTTTGCAAGGCTAGTTCAGACCTCCTTGTAAAGACCTGTGAATTCCTGTAACCAAGGTGGTTCACTCGAACAATTTCGCATTCCGCAGGAGTTCACAGGACTCACTAACAACGAACATGATCTACCAACAGGAACTATTAAAGGGCAAAATGCCCCTCTCACGTCGGACAGGGGCTGATGAATTTATTTCTCTTCGCCAAGAACTAAAGTCTCCTAAATAAAGCAGATGTACCTTGCCCAAGTTCTTTCCTTCCTTCCATCGTATGGTAGTGCCTGTGGTTGATGGTGTGTCTCCAAGATTATACTCCTTCTCGATTTTCTCGTTCTCGAAGAATTCGTTGGGAGTGAAGAAGAAGCGCAAACGGAATCCACTCTTTATATCGTCGAATTCATCAACCTGAAATAAATAAAAGAAAAGGATGAGCTTCAGCAACGAAAAAAGAAGGGATGTCTTACCTCTATATTGCTGAGATGTGTCAATGCTTGCTCTTCGCTTTCATCAATTATGGACGACAGTTGAGGATGATTTAGAAACTGAAAAAAGATGGTGATTGAAAATGTCGCTTTTTTTCAACCTAGCTGAGATCAGCGAGCTCTCCTCAAAATGGATAGGGTAAAAAAACTTACAGCAGTACACCAAAAATTAGGAATTTTCTTGATCATCTCACACCGCTTTTCATACTGAGGGCGGCGTAGTAAATTGTATTTTTGTTCGACCTAAAATACGACGCAGATACAGTCAGCTCTTATGGTTACCAGGCAATTTTCTGAATGTTTCACAGTACAGTAAAGCATGAAAAGTTTTTGTATGAAAGGCTCTGCTGATTACGGAGGTAATACTTCCAACAGATGTGAAATATTTCTGTGAAGATAAAGACAAAAAGTTACCTTCCCGAGAGTTCTCGGTACAATTATATACCTTACTAGTTTACAGCTTCAGCTAATTCGACAGAGAATTCTAATACTGAGCAACTGTGAAACCATGGAATCTGTACTCAAACTTTCGCGTTACAGACAGTCCTCGCGCTCGAGCAAATCCTAGGCTCATAAGTTTCAGTTCTGACGCCTTCCTAGTTGTCCTGCCCTCCAAACTCATAAGCAATTTTCAGTTTTGCCACGAGTTCGTTTTTCTTACTGCTGTATGGAATTAACACTGGATGACGCCAACAAACGATTAATCAGCCAGAAGCGGCTGAATCACGCTTTGCTGGCATAAAACGAGCAGATCCGGAGAACTCGTCCAGAGAGGCTGTCAAGTCCTTACTTAGAATGTCGTCCATGATTTTTTTTGCTTTTTTTTTCCCTGGAGAGTCATCAAGCGACTAAAGGGTCGTGATAGACCGCCACTTTCCTTTGTACAGAATCGCGAGTTTTGCATTTAATAACCAGAAGCGGTTCGTCTTGAAAGGGGCGTTTCGCTAACACCTGAAGTACTCCCATGAAGACCTCTGAAATCTTGTGAAATAGCGAAAAGGCATCCAGAAAAGCTTGTACGCGGCCCCTTTTATGAGGAATTACAAACACCTGAGGAATCAAAAGCCCTATATACAGTGCGTAACAAAAGTATGTGAACACCTCAAATTTTTGTTCTGCAAAATTGCCTTTGAATTTCGCGACATGAGACCTTTATTGTTGAATTCCTCATAAGCGAAAACATAGGAGTACACTACTTCTGAGCACTTTGTGAACTACTGTACAATTATTTATTGTTCTGGAAAAGTTTCAATAAAAAGTATGTGGACACCTGAGGAAGTCCAAAGTTTTGGCTCGCAGTCCTGCAACACCATTGTTCCTAGTCCCCATTAAACCTGTACTCATGGCTTCGTCGTGGTAGTCCTCTCTACGAAGACGAACAAGCTCGGATTCGAGCTTTCAGTGCTGCAGGACACTCGAATAGAGAACTGCAAGACAGCTTGGACTTTCGGCGACGTGTTGGTATATACCTTCAGAATCCTGATGGCTACCGCTCAGTACCTGTTTCAAGGCACCCACGATCTTTGTCGCAAAAGACCATCAGAAGAATAGTTCCTCAAACTCCTCGTTCCTGTGGGGCACAGTTCCATGCCGCGAATGAAACTACCGATCTCAAAATGACAATGATGCGCTCATTCGCTTAAGTGAGCACCATCTCTGCGAGAGACGCATCGAAGAAAGCTTCTCTGCCAAGCACCAGCTGGTAGAATGAGACTATCGGCGCGTGCAAAAATGGCCGACGGGTCGTAGGGACAAAGTGCAGTTGTCTTGTATGATTTTGTAAATCAGAAAAGCAAACATCTATGCGGCATTTCCTTATCTTAGGTTTATCTTCACTGATCAGAAAGAAGCACTCTGACGACCAGATGGATATAACATTACTGAACCTTTGTAGGCGATCCGTTGATGTTTCTCCACAGACGAAATCTTTCGGAGGCGACCTCAATTGGTGGGTGTTTCTGGAAGCAGAGGAAAGGTTGGAGCTTGCCTTCCCATCGTGCTGTATGAACAGTCAGGAATACCAAGGAGTGCTTGAGTCTAACCTCTTGCCTTTTCTGAGCGGGCCACGACGCAGGACACATGTGATGCAGCAGGACAACGCCGCCGTGCATGTTTCAAATTCTACTAGAAAATGGCTCCAACGCAATGGTATCAAAGTGATTGATTGGCCGGCGTGTTCTCCTGACTGCAACCCAACCGAAATCCTGTGGGGAATCATGGTTCGACGAATCTACATGAACAGTGGGCAGTACAACAGTGTGCGAGACTTGAAGGAGGAATACACCCATGAATTTGTCCACAGGCATGCCAGACAGAATGCTCTTCAAAGTAATCAAACGCTGGAAAAAAACCAACTGCCTCTATTTCCCCAGGATACTTAGTTTTTGTTAACTGCTCCACATACTCACAAGGGAAGGATACTCAAACTCGTCTGGCCATTCAGGACCTGAGATGTATTTTCTGAAGGGGGGGGGGGGGGGGGGGGGGGGGGGGGGGGGGGGGGGGGGGGGGGGGGGGGGGGGGGGGGGGGGGGGGGGGGGGGGGGGGGGGGGGGGGGGGGGGGGGGGGGGGGGGGGGGCGCTGATATCAAATCTGGCTTCCAAATCTGCTAAACGATTCTGGGTGAGGAGTTACGGACCTTTTTTGCTACTGTGCTTAACCATTGCGGTGCGCCCCCTGCTTATGCTTCGCGCTTGTAAACCCTTCGTGACCCAACTGCCATCGTGGCTCGGTGGCGCAGTAGGTAAGTGGATGGTACTCAAGTCGTGCGATGGGGGTTCGAGTCCTTGATGCGTTTCGTAGTTTTGCTTTTCTTGAAACGTGCGCTCAACACTTGGGAAGTAGTTTTGCATACCTGTCCGACCACCAAGACAACTCCCTGCTCTTTATTGAGCCCCGCGAACGATTTTCGTGAAAAATTACACTTCTAACTCGTTCATGCAAGGGACCAAATACACATGCATATCTGCCTGAAGTACGTGATCTGCGAAATTTCACCATCCTATAAAATGACGTGTGTGGGCAACGAAAGTTTCAACATGTTCGGTAGCTCTAATCACCCACGCACACAATATCAGCCAACACCTCTGCGACCGTGCCTACCATAACTAAAGTAATATTAGGCACTGTTGAACTACTCCTACCCCAGAAAGCTCAAAAAATTTTTCTCGCTGAAACGTTGTCTACAGATGCAATTCTATGCCCTGATCACGGTTTTAACCCTCGTTTTGAGCGCTGGCGTCATTTGGCGCCATTATGCACCAATTTGGCGCCCACCACTTTTTTCCTGCAAAGTTGATGAAAACTTGCATATGGGGGTTAATTGAGGTCCTGATTAAGAATATCACACAGGTTTCCAGAGTTGGCGCGATTTGGCGCCATGATGCGCCAATATGGCGCCAAATTGGCGTATAATGGCGCCAAATCGCACCAGCGCCTAGCGCGAATGCTGGTTCCGTAATCAGGAGCTCAATTAACCCCCATATGCAAGTTTTCATCGACTTTGGTGAAAAAAATGGTGGGCGCCAACTTTGGCGCAGAATGGCGCCAAATGACTCCAGCGCTCGAAACGAATGTGATATTCGTGATCTGGGCATCGAATTACACCTATAGGCAACGTTTCAGCGAAAAAGGTTTTTTTGAGTTTTCTGGGGTACGAGTGAGTGTCAATGTTCCATTACAAGGTTGTCGACACACTGTACGACAACCTTGTAATTGACTGCGAGGAAGATAGCTCGTAGAAGACGATAATACGGATCCTCTCTGATCACGTGTGATGGCGATGAAGAAAGTTCCCTAGGAGCTAGAAGAACAGCTACGTCACTTTGGGGATGTAAAGGTCCCGATAGAGAAGGTAGTTCGCTTGTACCCATTGCCCACTTATGGACTTCACTTTATACAAGTCCATATCAAGTATGCGTGTGGTTGAAGTGAATGAACGGCCATTGCTTCTACCGTTCAGGTGGCGAAAAAAGTCGCCATTATCTTACAAAATATTAATGCGTTAAATAAAGCTGCCATACCAACGCTATGAAAATGAATGCTTTCACTGAAGTCAAAATGAAAAACCCCTCTCAAAATTCAGACATAGGGTCTAATAAGCAGCAGGGAGGGGTCTTGGTGGTCGTACAGGTATGCAAAACTACTTCCCAAGTGTTGAGCGCACGTTTCAAGAAAAAGCAAAACTACGAAACGCATCAAGGACTCGAACCCCCATCGCACGACTGTGAGTCCATCCACTTACCTACTGCGCCACCGAGCCACGATGGCGGTTGGGTCACGAAGGGTTTACAAGCGCGAAGCATAAGCAGGGGGCGCACCGCAATGGTTAAGCACAGTAGCAAAAAAGGTCCGTAACTCCCCACCCAGAATCGTTTAGCAGATTTGGAAGCCAGATTTGATATCAGCGTCCGAAGACGCTTCTAGGAGTATACATCTCATTCTGAATGGCCAGGACGAGTTGGTATCCTTCCCTTGTCAGTACGAAAGAATTCTCACAGCTTCTCTCATTCTTGCAACCTCAATGTTAGTAAGGTAAGTGTTTTATAAATATGGCTTGTGCCTTACGAGGTTGACTAGTGGAACCATTTATTCATATGGGCCTAACCGCTTCGACTGAAATCGTCGTGCATACTGAGCAGCTTGAATGTGTTTCAAGGATTAGATTGCGCTCTACCCCACCAAGCGTCTCGTCAACTCTAGCGGTTCCGACATCGTGTCAGGAACCCCTCGAGAAACGCCCGTCATCGCGAACCGTCGGTGAGTTGACTTTCGCGATGACGGGGTTTCTCGAGGGGTTCCTGACACGATGTCGGAACCGCTAGAGTTGACGAGGCGCTTGGTGGGGTAGAGCGCAATCTAATCCTTGAAACACATTCAGGCCTCTGATGACGACGATTCAGTCGAAACGTTAGGCCATATTGAATAAATTGTTCCACCTATCAACCTCGTAAGGCACAAGCATATTATAACACTTATCCAACACAGCTTTTTTGTTATTAAGAAATTTTTCAAACCATAAATAACTTGCACAGTATCACAAAGTGTCACAAGTATGTTATTACCTATGGTTTTTTGCTATGAAAGGAATTCAACAATAATGTCCCTCATATCGCAAAATTCAAAGACCAATTTTGCAGGACATCATAATTGATCGAGTTGTCCACATACTTCTATTACGCACTGTAGTG